CGGATTTAAGAGAGACAGAAGAAAAAGTTTAATACGTACTTTAACAACTTTCTTCACAGTCAAGAATGTGAAATTTGCATGCATACGTATATATAGAAACTAACCTTGCAGCTTTCTCTTTCCAGTTGTCTGCAACAGTTGCTTCAGCTTTCTCTTCCATCTTCTCTACAGTTGCTTCAGTTGTCTGGAATTTGCAAGAGGATGGAGCAAATCCCCTTTAAATCTTAAATTCTCTACAACTGAAGTCAAGTTATAAATTTATCATAAGACCAATGAAAATATTTAAAAAATAGTGAAAGTTATAGTAGAATGGTAGATGCTGTTGGGGGCTGTCTTCAGCCACGTTTTGAATCTTCTTGAATGCACCGCGGCTCCACGAGCTATTTTGACAACAAAAAATGCCAGTGAGCAATTGTATTAGTTGTTGAATTAATTATTGCTCGAGGCTATCAATATTATTATGTTAATATTATTTTTGGGATAAATTTCAGTTTGGTATCTTAAAGTTGTATATATTTATTCCAGTGTTTTTAATTTTAATAATGAAGTATCCCGATATTGGAAATTTGTTACAATATTATTCTACTGTTGTCAAAAAATTTGTTAGGATTCAAGATAGAGATTTTCGTAAAAAGAGTTGTCATTTGATCATTTTTATTGTCCCTGTAATTTTTTGTCATTTACAAAATTCAACATACATAAATCTAAACACTAAAATTATTAATTGTCAAAAATTTGAATGACAGAGATCTAAATCCATCATTTTAGAATTGTACATAATTTTCAATTCCTTCATCCAAAAGAATGGTACAATCCAAATAATTAATAACTTAACACCCAAGTTATAAATATTTGCAAATGAACCTTTGAAGCCAAATCTAGAAACTGGTCTAATTTAACCTGAAAGTATGGTACAACATATTGTTCATATACAGATTTGCAATATATTGGCTATGAACCTTATTATGAATTTCATCAGGTAAGTTTATAATTTTATATATAAACTTTATATTGATTTTAAATTTCATGTGATAAGTTTTTTTATCTTAGTTATCAACATTTTGGCAAGTTGTTTCAACTAATTGCAGCAGTAACTACTAGTTGTCATAAACAAACATTTTTAACTTTAGCATTCACATTAGATCTAGACTTTTAGTCTTGTCTTGTCCCCAACCCAAGTCTTTTTGTAACCATTTCCTTCGTCTTTCCAACCAATAGTTAATTTTGCAACCACTTCGATTAGCGCGAGAGGCATTTTGTTGCTAATTTGGCTTGTTCCTAACGATGTATTTTGTTTCAACTGGAGTGAGTACCTCGTGAAACAAAAGCATGTCAGAACACTTTAGCTTTATTGTTTTATTTTTTATGCTGCATAACACTTTACTGTTGTCAATGTCTGTCATGTGCTTAGAAAGTGAAATTTCTTTCAATATAGTTTCGTTCATCAAGGTGCACGGAACTTAGTGGCCACCTGCCGTTAGATATAATCTAACGGTACATAATGATTCAGGCCTCAATTTAAGAAAAAATAATTTTACATGAAAAAAGACTGGCCTGGGTTCAATTATAGCGAAAAGAAATTAAAGCTCGAGGTCATGGCATGGGATTATTCAGCTGCTAAGGGACAGGCTAAGTTGAATTTCTTTCCATCTCCATCTCCCAAAGAGACCGAGACCACTTTCTTGGGTCACCTTCAAACGCTCAACTTCTTCATGTCAGACGTGAACATGATGAATTGTTTGGTTCCACGCTATGTAATGAGAATTTCGATTTTGGCAAGGTCCATGAAAAACACATTGAATTCAAGCCTAAGCCTTGGATAATTAAACAAAAAAATGTTGAAGTTAGCTTCTAGAGTTCTGGTCTTCTTCCCTAATTAGTAATTTGATACCCCTCTAAAAAAAATTATTATTTTTAGTAATTTGATACCAACTTTTGTTACTTTTCCCGGGCTTCTTTTAATAATATGATTTTCGACCAAAAATAAAAAATAATAATTCTTTTCTAATAAACAACCACCAGAAGAGAAAAATTTGGTCAAGAAAAAAGAGTGCATACCACAACACCTTCACACAATAATGTACAATTAATTACCCCACCTCCCTATCTTTTCCAACAAAGGTCACAACTGAGGTGGGGCTGCATACATAAATATATGTATAGACATATATACATATACACACACATATGCCTTCATCAGATTTGTTTAATTCAAACCAAACATGTAGCCTTGGACAAGTAATTGTACCATCACTCGTCCTCGCCATTTCTTCAAGAACCTGGCACCAAGAACATCAAATACTAGCAATCAGACAACGAAAGTACGTACGTACATAAGCATGCATGTAGCCGCGGGTGGGAAAATAACATCTTATTACTACACACATGCCTTTACTGTATGCACACCACACAAAAAAAAATATTTTAATTAGTTGCACATGCATAATAATACTAACCAATTCGATCACCAAGCTGAACCTTTGCCAAGTCTTCGGCCTTAAGAATCAGAACTTCAACTTCACCGATGGCCCAAAAACTAAAAGGAGAGGGGGGAAATTCGGCAGGAACGTTAGCTTTCGTACTTTTAGATTGCATCCAATGTTGTAAAAGCTCATCTCCACTGTGATTTGGACGTTCTCCTTCTCTGCGGTAATGTTTCGAGCTCTCGTTTGTCACCGACACAACTCCGCCGACGATGAAGAACATCATTTCCATTCGTTTATCCTTCCGAATAATGTACTCATCTTTATACGTTTTTTTGGTAAGATGGTCGCATATTTCTTTCAACACTTCCTCATCCATAGTCTTTACGCTTTCCACCTAGGATATTATTGGAGACCACATTAATTTAAGGCAAAGGAGAAATTAGAATTATGATTAAAATATATAGGATACATTATAGGTCTGGTTCTCTTCATCCAGAGGAACTTACATTCTTTAGGATGGTCAACGGTTCTCGAGGCTGATCAGATTCTGTAGGGAGGGCGGTTTCCGTGCTGAATTTCGACCTGAATTGATCAGAGACTACACTCTTCAAGTCGTCGGCTTTGAGAGCAAGGATTTCGACAGAACCACCAAGCACGCCGCATAGCGCAGAACAAGGTGATAAAGGTAGTTTGGCAGGAAAGGGCTTGTGTGATACCCAAGTTGTAACCCATTGTGCAAGTTCTTCTCCGTAGAAACTTCCTATTTCACAGGTTTTTTTAACGTTCACGTCCATAGCACTATCGCTTTCAATTGATACAACTCCTCGCATGACGAAGAACATCATTTTAAGTGGTTTTTTCTCTTGAAGAATATGGCGCTTGGCAACATTGAAGTTCATGGGCTTAAGGCACTTGGATATTGCTTCCAACACTTGTTCCTCCATTTGTTGAAAGATTTCCACCTAAAATTAGATAGATGTGACCTTGTCAGTTAAGAAAAATATAAAGCATCTTCTAAAATTTAGTACTGGCTAGCTTGGATGATCCATAATGGTTTTAATTGGATGTGCCTTCTTCATTGAGTTCTAATTACTTTGCTTGATATATATATATAGTACTGCAGATGGAGCAACTTACTTTTTTTAGCCAAGTCAACCGGACATCTGAGGGAGAGGCAAAATTGCTGAAAGGCAACATGAACCTAGAGACTACACTCTTCAAGTTCTTGGCCTTCAGTATGAGGACTTCAGCATCATCTGAGACTACTTTAACAGTGCAGGTCGACAAGGGTAATATGGTAGGAAAAGACTCATCCCGTACCCAATCAAGAAGTTCTTCTCCAATAAAATTTGCTTCGGGAGGGTTCTCATTTTTTGTTACCTCTCCCCTCGTAACGAAGAACATCATACCAACTGGTTGGTTCTCTCGAACAATACAGTCCTCGCGTTTATAGCTAACCGAAGAAAGCTGATGAGACATTGCTTTCAATACTTGTTTATCCATAGTTTCAAGTTTTGGCACCTAGGATTTGACACATTATTAATTTCTCAAACATAAAGAGAACATTATATAAATCAAATAAGTAACATCATTGTATATACGTCATCTAAATAGAGAGGAGCTTACTTTCTGAAGAATATTTACCACCATGCGCAACTCGTTGATAGACCGCCTGGAACTGAAGCCCAAGGTCGCCATGTCTGTGGCAGAGAGAACAAGGGCTTGAACATCATCAATGGCCCGAACAGACTCGTTTATGGGCTTTGCATCACTAGAGGAGGTCCACAATGGCGAAACTAGAAGTTCCTGCCCATAAAAATCTCCTGCGCCTAGATCTTCCAGCAGAGAAGCATCTGTCTTTTCAATGTTTACATGTCCGTCCACGATGAAAAGCATCATTTGAAGTGTTTCATCCTTTTTTATAATGATTTGTCCAGGAGTATACTTCTCGGGATGAAGCTTCTCAGAGATTTCTACCAAAACTCCTTCGTCCATGTCTTTAAGTAGTGGCACCTGGGATTAGATTACATACAATATTTGAGAAAAATAACCAGCAATTAAAAATCTAATATATATAGATATATATCATTGGATACGAATAATGGTCTTGAAAAATTAAATATGATGATGAACCTACCTTCCTCAACCTACTCAACGGGCTGCAACTTTTGATTTCTTCGTGGGGAAGAATAGAGAGGATTTCCCTAACCACATCAAATTCCGAGTGTTCTACAAGCTCTCTGTGTATCTCTTCCATGATCTTCTGCTTTCTACTAAGGGGGATGCCATGACCAGATAACCATTGTTCTACTTTTCGGTCATTTTCTTTCATCTTCCGTTTAAGTTTATTCTCGCGTCTGTGCGACTCTAAACTTTGAGAAGTAAAAGGCAAAAGTGTGTGACAAGGGACTAATATATATATATATAATGCAAATGGATCCTGTAAGAGTTTCCCTCAATTGAAGCTTTCTGGCTCCCGAGAGAGAGAGAGAGAGAGAGAGAGAGAGAGAGAGAGAGAGAGAGAGAGAGAGAGAGAGGGGGACGCAAGACTCAAATGAGAGAAGAAGAAAAAATCAAATCAGGAGCTTTAAGCTTAAGGAGAACTTTTTATATACACCGCACCAACCTGCAAATTTCCAATGAGATATACAAACAGTATCAAGCCGATTATAGATATAAAAGCTACAAAGGCGATTTCCCATGTATAGAAACTCGGTTGGAGATTTGAAGCAAGAGAACTGCAAACATGAAATGGATCAGAATACATAATATATACAAATCTCAATTGCTCAATGTAAGGAAATCTAAAACCATTTCTCTAGTTAAAAAACAGCATCAATGTATATGTTGGTTTCACATGTACAAACCTCAAATTTCGCAGGCCCCAACAAAAACTGTTCAAAAACTTCAGGGGATAGTCTGTTGACCACAATGCACCCGACTGAAGGACATTTAGGTATATACCAAAATCAAAGAGAGTTGCATTTGGTGGACTTATCGGGCATAAATTATTTAGAACTGTAATATTTCTCGACGTTTGGTGATCATGACAATTAAATGTAGTAGCGCCACATCCATTTCCATATCGACACGCATGTTCCCAGCAACTTATCATTTGTTGAGCAGCAAAAAAGTACCAAAAAGCTCCAAGCACCTAAAGAAACAACAAGCTTGTTAGATTGAACATTTGAGAAAAATATGATCCTTTATTTAGAAAGCGAACTTTTTAAAATTCAATAAATTATGATAAAAGTGAAACTTACATTACTAGCGAGAATGTAGAGGAAAAGATTGAGTAAACCTTTAAGCCATAATGGGATATGTCCTTTGAAAGGTTTTCTAGCTTTCTTGCATGATAGGTAAATGCGAAGAACTCGTGGTACATATTGTACCATAACAAGAAAGTTCATAATACGCTTCCCGAAAGATCCTGAGACCCTCATCTTTGGAAAGAAAATGAGAATTGCCACCTGGACACATTGCAATGTTAATATCGACTATTAACAACATATCGTGAGACAAAATATTAAATTAGGGTAATGCTAGATATACTAAATTTGTGTATCAAGTGACCTGACAATTGGATCCCAAGTGACATGGCAATGTCATATCATCACTTAATGATATAGATTTATTAATTAGTTCAAAAGTCATAATGATTTTTTAGGGGGAAAAAAAAACTCCTAACTGACAAGAACCCATTGCAACACAGTACCCTTTTCTTTGCCAGGATGTCTGCCTTTCGTCAACCAAATCAATTTTCCAATATTTTTCTCAGTTTTACAAAATTAGTCAAATATGAATGGGCAAAATAGACAGATTTATGGGTTACTTTCAATTTAGTATCCTAAACTTTCACCCTTAAGGCATGTTTGCCCTTGCAATTTTAACAATTATGTACCCTAATCTTTTTTTTTTCTTTTTTTTTCGAAATATGGTTCCAACATTAACTTTATAGTCAAAATTTTGGTTAATTGCCTACGTGGTAGGTCCCACATATTCGCTTCTTTTAATGCCAGTTGAAGTGTATTATTGGGCAATTGGTGTCTTCTCTCCCAAACCCATTTGACACAAAACATCCCACCCAAACCCATTTGACATCAATTGTCTGAAATACCCTTCAACTAGCATTGAAAGAAGTGAATAAGTAGGTCACAAGTCCGTCACGTGGGCAATTAACGGAAATTTCACTTGTGAAGTTAATGCATAAACCAAATTGCAAAAAAGTAATAAGATTAGGATATATAATTGTTAAAATTGAGAGTGCATAGACAAACATGCCTTAAGGGTGAAAGTTTAGCATTCCAATTGAAATTAACCCTAGTTTTATTTGGTTGAAATCAAAATAGCAGAGATGATGCCCAGTCTTCATGATAGAGGTATTCTTCTTCGATTCAATCAAACATAGTCAGAATCAGGGGCGAAGCCAGTATTGGACCAGTGTGGTCCCAGACCCCATTCCATTTTTACCTCTTTTATTTGTATATTATATATGATATATAATATTATAATATATTAAATTAGTTTTAGGATATTTACTTATATATTATGTTCTTTTTGTATACATATAAACCATAAAATGACTTGATCTCCCTTCTACTCATCTCCCTTAAATTTTCTAGGTTAGTTTATGATATTTGCACTAAAATCTCCTAATGTTTTAACATTTTATTTAAAATTTTGTGAATTTTTTTTTCATGTATGAGCTGGGTAACTTAATATTGCGCCTTATGAACTCATTTTTGTTCCCCATTTATTTTCTATGTTGGAATATAAATGATGAATTTTTAAGTCTTTAATAGTGTAGATGATACAATTAATATTTAATCAATTTAAAATATGAAATTCATGATAATTATGAAGAGAAGACAAATTTTATAAAAGACTCCTCTAATGTGAAATCCTGACTCCGCCACTGGTCAGAATGTTATCTAATTTGGTTGAAATGGGTACTCACTTGGTCTCGTATCATTATAATAATCTATAAAGTCTTTGAATCTTTATGGTGACACCATTTAGGGTCCCATACGAAATTTTTTTCAACGATCCAAACTATCTATTTTTTAAGTTTACATCCATAGATCATCTTTGCAAAAAATTAGACAAATCAAAAACCGTTTCGACATCCAATTATGTCCTACAAAATCAATGAACACGGTGCTTCAAGAAAGTACAAATTTTTTAATATTTTAATTGAGTGATCAAATGATATCAGATTCAAGTAAATTTTTGTAGAGATGATGATCTTTAAATGAATATTTACAAAATACACAGTTTGGATTAGTGAAATACAATACAAAATGGGTCATACAAAAGTGTGCCTTAAATAAGCTTATTTGAGGAATTTCCAATTTATATATGGCATTGCATGCAAACAAAAACAGTGAGATTTGAAAAGCAAAAACAAAAAGAAAAACAAAAGAAAAAACAAAAACAGTGGGATTGGAAAAGCAATTAACTACTGGATCTAGAGTCTAGATATCAAAGGGCTTTTGTTCATACCTGTGGAAGAGGAAGAATAGCTAAAATGTCAACTATGATGGACGACTCCCGTATCTCCTTTGTTATACTTGGTATCAGATATTCCTTCTCATGAACTTCAGTTACTTCAGGTAATAACTCACGAAAGCATTTGATGAGTGATGTTATTAACTTGGAGGAGCAACTTTCGGGAAGAATTCGATTGATGAAAGGCGAACAATTTTCAAATCTACAAACTTGCAAAATAATTCTGCCTACATAAAATAGATCAGTGAACAATCGCGAGACGAGAGCGATAATCTTTATGGTGTTATCCAACCTCAGACACTTCAAATCGTGGTTGAGTAGAGGAATGTAGAGGAACAAAGGATCTAGGAAAACGCCAAGCACACATGATGTTATAAATATTTTAGTCAACCGTGCTGCATTTTCTGATTTTTTCACATCTACATCTATCGTGGCAGAATTTTCCGTTGTCTGGTTTGAATTTGGATAATCTGTTCTGCTGGCCAAGACACAAAGAACATAAAATTACCCATACAGGATAGAATTAAAGATTTGGCTGTGATTATACTATTATTAATATTATTGCAATGCAATGACTTTAGCATGTCCTCAAAACAACAAAAGGTTAAACTGTTCTGTATCTGTATAGCAGCGACGGCGGCAGCAGCGATTTTACATTATTTTTTATTTTAAAAAAACAACAGAATTTCATTAGATCAATAAGAATATAATTAAAAACATTTATTTTTGTAAGAAAGGAAAGGGGCATGCATTTGAAACTCTACGTATATAGAGAAACAAACCTTGCTTCAGCTTTCTCTAAATCACCGGGAGCGGAAGCCATATAAAACTCGAACCTTTTTCTTTTTTTTTTGGTCTTTTTTTCTTTTTCCAGAAACTGAATCTGATCTTGCTAGTGGAATTTGCAAATGATGGGAGCAAACTGAAGTCAAGAAATGAGAATGGCAGATGCTCTCGTTTTGAATCTTCTTTAAAGCACCTGGGCTCCATGGGCATGAAAAGGAGAGCCTTTTTTTTTTTTAATGGCTGAAAGTGAGTGAGCACTTGTCCAAGTTGTCCTGAATGTATTATTTGTTGTGGAATTAATGCAGGTACGAAATAAGGAAAAATGAATTTCCATGGATAAAGTTTTCATGGTTGGGGGAGCAAGTAATGATATGTCCTTCCTAACGACACATTGTGGGGTCGATTACAAATTTTATTTATGAACCGTTTATCCTTAAGTATCTAATTATAGATTATTTTTGTAAAAAATATTGAAGAAATTAAAAATCATTAAGATATTTAACTGTGAACGACAAATTAGATAAATATGGTGTTTGAAGAAAATACTAAAATGACAACCATTTGATTGAGTGTTCAATTGATTTTCGAATTCAAGTGATTTTTTGTTAGGATGAAGTTTAAATGAATACCTAAACATTTTATAATTATGATCATGGAAAAATAATATGAGCTGTTCCACAAGAATATCCCTCGAATAACCGTACTTGAAAGAATCTCTCAATTGAAACTCCAACATATTATATACGTACACTAACGCAACACAATGAGATTTGGGAAAAATAATTAACACTGGAGTTTAGATGAACAATAATTGCTATATAAAATAGAAATGTGAGAGACTTAGTGTAGCAGACATTTGATAAACCTTGTCCAAGTGCAGTGAATCAGAGGCGGCTGACTGTGAACAATAATTGTGGCTAAAGTTAACGAAAAATCAAAGATTCCGAACATCTTCTGAAAATAATAATAATTAACCTCATTCAGAAAACTTGTATGTTTTTCCGCAAACTTTCCTAGAAGGTGGAGTGCACCTTATCTCTTCAATATATTATTTAACCATTGAGCCCAAACAAACTGAGGAGAAGGACAAACGCAACGACAAAGACATAGACGTTTTAAAATGATATCAGTAGACAATGTCAAAATCACCACAAATGAAGATGTAGATGAAGATGGCGACTCGCAATTTTAAAATACAATTTTACCACATTATTTGGGAAGATGGTGCAAATCATCATCATCATCACAACGTCATATTAATTTAGAAGGGACGCGTATTGTGCCTTAATAATTTATTTATTTTGGTAACTTATTACTCAAATTTTACTTTTAAAGGGGACGAGACTCGTAAAGACTGACTTGTACTCAACTCCAATAAACTCGTATTGTGTCTTAATCTCAAATTTTTGTATGCACTTTTATGGAATTAATCTTTGTTTACATTTTTTAAAATTTAGTTTTATGAACATTTTCACTTAAAAAGTTATAAATTATAAAAACATAATTGTATTTGATTATAAAAGACCGAGGCACGAATTATGAACAGGAATGATTTTCGGGGTTGAATATGATATAAATTAACTAATATCAACCTTTTGGCCTTGGATATTCTTTTTACCGTTAAATTCATTAGACTCAATCAAGGTTGTCGGATTCGAAATAGACACTAAGTTTTTTTTATTAAAATAAAATGAAAATTTTGAATTTGTACCCTTGGATTGCAACAGTCCAATAACCATGACCGTTCGCTAACGGGAGAGACAATTCAAGTGTGCGACAATTGTATAGTGGCGGGCCCCGCATTGAATCAAAGAAAACAAAAAAGGGGCCAGCCATCACGTGGTCTAGTGGGCTTCACCACTGTGCTCCATCAAATTTGGGCCCCTTGTATACAAGCGTTGGCCATAGAACTCTAATTTTGTATTTCTTTCAAATTAATTCAATATAAAAGTTTAGTTCCTCAAATAAAAAAAGAGTTTAGAATACGTTTTGGTCAACAACTTGACTATAAATTGTTGCTATTTCAATTAAAAAAGGAAGAAGAGTTTTTGCTATTTCAAGCCAAGTATCCTTGGGTATACATCCAGTGCAAGGTGTGTAAATTAGAGATTGAAAAGGTCCAAGTAACTCTTTGGTTTAATAGTATTTCTTATGTTAAAGATATAACTCTAATTTCAATTCTCTCTCTCTCTCTCTCTCTCTCTCTCTCTCTCTCTCTCTCTCTCTTGTTGATAATATAAAAAAATTGAACAGGAGAGGTCTAATACTATTTATGTAAACAAAAAAAAAAGTTGCAGAAATTTATTTCATCAATTAAAAACAACAACAAAAATCCTAACTTAACCCTCAAAAAATTGTTGCTAACGATCCAACTAATCACATACGTCACATCCATCCTCATAGGGCTAGCTTGAGCATTGGCAATTGTTTTGATTGGATTTGATTTTGATCCAAACAAGTAAGTCATTGTTATAAGAGCAGTTACTCATGCACTTGAATCTTGTATTTGAATCCCTTTTTTTTTTTTTTCTTTTTTTTTTAAATATCACTTGTATAAAAATAAATAAATAAATGAGTAACGCCAAGTCGAGGAAAGAGCCAGGGGCAAAGTTCTTAAACCGAAAGGAGACATGCGGTGCGTTTAACAGAGAAGGATTTCATGTACAGAGAGCACATGACATTCTAAGAGTTACAAAGCCCATAACAAAATTGCTAAGAAACTTGAATAATTGAACAATCGATTATAGTTGCACTTCGACGAGGCTGAACCTTAGCCAAGTCGTTGGCCATAAGAACCAAAACTTCAACTTCACCGATGGCCCGAAAATTAAAAAGAGATAAGGGCAACTCGGCAGAAAAGTCGGTATATTTAGACCTCGCCCAATATTCTATAAGGTTGTCTCCACTGTGATTTGAACGTTCTGCTTCATTGCGGTAATGTTTCCAGTACTCATTTGTCACCTCAATAACTCCCTTCACGATGAAGAACATCATTTCCATTGGTTTATTCAGTTGAATAATGTCCTCATCTTCGTACTTTCTGGGCCTAAGATGCTCGCATATTTCTTTCAACACTTTCTCATCCATAGTTTTAAGTCTTTCCACCTAGGATTGGATACCATGTTTGTTGAAGCAAAGAGAGAGAATTAGAAATATAATAAGTAATATATCATATAATCTATTAAAATAGAATAAGTGGATATATGTAAGGAGATATTCTACTTTCCTACAAATCATAGTTTGTTGCACCCATGTCGACAAACTTACATTCTTAAGTATAGTCAATGGGTCCCGAGTCAAAGGCTCCGACTGAGAATATGTAAGGAGGGTGCTCTCCCTGGTGAAATTCGATCTGAATTTTGAGAGTACACTCTTCAAGTCGTCGGCACTGAGAGCAAGGATTTCAACAGTACCACGGGGCCCGCTTAGCGCAGAACCAGTTGGCAGAGGTAGTTTGGCAGGAAAGGAGCTATGTGATACCCAAGTTGTGACCCAATATGCAAGTTCTTCTCCATAGAAACCTCCCATTTGACAGGTTTTTGGCCCTTCAATAGTGCTATCGCTTTTAATGGTTACTTCTCCGCGCACAACGAAGAACATCATTTTAAGTTGTTCTTTCTCTGGAATGATATGGGTGTTTGCAAAAGGGTAGGTCACGGTGTATAGACGCTCAGAGATTGCTTCTAACACTTGATTGTCCATTTCTCGAAATATTTCCACCTAGAATTAGACATAAATTGTTAATTAAAAAGAATATATGAAGGAATTCTAAAAGATAGGATGATCATGGGTTTAGAGTGATGTGTTCTTCATTAAGTTCCAAATAGAGAGATGGAGCAACTTACTTTCTTTAGCCTAGTCAACCGAACAAAAGTAAAAAGATCTAACGGAGAGGCAATCTTGCTGAAATGTGACACGAAGTTATCAGAGGCTAAACTCTTCAAGACTTCTGCCGTTAGAACGAGGAATTCAGCATCGTTTGAGACTACTTTAGCAGTACAGGTCGACAAGGGTAGTATCTCAGGAAAAGACTTATCCAGTACCCACTCAACAAGTTCTTCTCCAAAAAAGTTTCCTGCACGACCGGTCTCATCATTTATTACCTTTCCCCTCGTGACGAAGAACATCATGTTAAGTGGTCGGTACTCTTGAACAATGTTGACGTTGTGTCCATAGACGTTCGATTGAAGATGTTCAGACATTGCTTTCAACACTTGTTTATCCATCTCTCGAAGCTTCGGCACCTAGAGTTAGATATTTTAACAAATATAAAGAGAAAATAATATATAAATCGAATAAGTAACATCATTATTACTGTATCTATCTGTATAGATTTATGTCTTCCTCCGAAGAGAGGAACTTACTTGTTGTAGCATAGTCACCTTGTCACAAGTCAAAAGCTCCCAATGCGAATCTGTTTGTTGACTCTGACTGAGACTCAGCTTCAACTTATCGAAATCTGACCTGAATCTAGAGCCTATACTGACCATGTCGCTGGCCAAGAGAACAAGGGCTTCAACATCATCAATGGCCTGAACAGACTCGGTTGCTATAGGCCTTGTTCCCTCATGGAAGGACGTCCATGATGGCCAAACTAGAAGTTTCTCTCCATACAGATGTCCAGCACGTCGTTGGAACTTACTGGAACAATCTTTCTTTTTAATGATTACACGTCCGTCCACAACAAAAAACATCATTTCAAGTGGTCGATCCTCTTTAATAATGATTTGATTATTAATATACCTCTTGGGCTTAAGATGCTTTGAGATTTCTATCAAAACTTGTTCATCCATGTTTCGAAATGGTGGCACCTAGGTTTAGATGCAGTGTTTAATAAAAGTAACCACCAATTAGAAATCTAATAAGTAATTAAGCGAGGATGGATAATTGTTGTGAAAAATTAAATATGGCCAGGCTATATATACTAAAGCGATGAGTTTATACGAACCTCTACGTTCTTCAGCCTACTCAAGGGCTTGCAAGTTTCGATATATTCTTGAAGTTCCCGGGGAAGAATAGAGAGGATTTCCTGATCCACATCAATATCCCAGTTTTCTTCAAGTTCTAATCGTACCTTTTCCATGATATCCGGCTTTCTGCGCAGGGGAGTGCCATGTTTAGATAACCATAATTCTACATCTCGGCCTTTCGCTTTCATCTTCCGTTCAAGTTTCATCTTGCGTCTGTGCGACTCTAATCTTTCAGTATCTAACAGCACATATGTCTATTTCACAACAACAAGGTTAAGCCTCATTAATTCTGCATTTTTATATATCCCAAAAGCCAGCCATACTCAAATGAGAAAAGAAAAAATCACGAGGAGCTTTAAACTTAAAGAAAACTTTATATATCCCAAAAGCCAGCCAAACCTGCAAATTCCCAATGAGATATACAAATAGTAGCAAGCCGATTATAGAAATACAAGCCACAAAGAGGATTTCCCATGTATTGGAGCTCGGCTCAAGATTTGAAGCAAGAGAACTGCGAAAAGAAATGGATCACTATACATAAGATACAAATTTGGACTTTTATTATTTGTAATAGTATAGCTCAATCTGCAAAGATCAAAAGGGTTTCACATGTACAAACCTCAAATTCCGCAAGCCCCAACAAAAACTGTTCGAAAACTTCAGCGGATAGTTTGTTGACCACAATATACCCGACTGAAGGACACTTAAATATATACCAAAATCAAAGAGAGTTGTATTTGATGAATTTATAGGGCATAAATCATCTAGAACCGTAATATTTCTCAATGTATGGTGATCATGACAATTAAAATTACTAGGGCCACATCCATTTTCATATTGACATACATGTTGCCAGCAACTTGTAATTCGTTGAACGGCAAAAAAGTACCAAAAAGCTCCAAGTACCTAAAGAACTCAACAAGTTAGCTATGAGAAAATTTTAAATAACGCTAATAAGTTCTCATAAAAAGAAAATTTCAAATGTCTTTAAATGATTTATGATGTTGAAACTTACATGACTAGCAAGGATGTAGAGGAAAAAATTGAGTAAACCTTTAACCCATAATGCGGTATGTCCTTTGAAAGGTTTTTTGGATTTCTTGCATGATAAGTAGATGCGAAGAACTCGTGGTACATATTGCACCATAACAAGAAAGTTCATAAGCTTCCTTAAAGATCTTGAGGCCCTCATTTTTGAAAAGAAAATGAGAATTATCACCTGGAGTACACATTGCAATAATATTAACAACATATCGTGAGATAAAATATTGACTGTCCTAATTTCAAATACAACATTGCATTTAGATTTTATACTTGTTGGGGTCAATATCACATTTCATATTTTATACTTTTTGGGGTCAATATCACATTTCATTGGTCAGTAGCATCGTAGGTGGTCCTAATCTCTTATGCTTTTATACTGAAATATATATATATATATATATACACACATAAATTCTCCTATATGCGATATTACTACCGTGCGTACACCGTGTATTTTATACTACCTATTCATGCTTTGTCTATATTCACATTTACATCCACATAGTAATAATGAGCGACATCTAAACAGTAATAATGAGCGAACATTCAAATGAGAGAATAATTATTTATATATAATAGCACGCAGACAAAAACAGTGAGATTGGAAAAATAATTAACTCTAGTCTAGATGAAAGGGCTTCCCATACCTGTGGAAGAGGAAGAATAGCTAAAATGTCAACTATGATGTATGACTGCCATATCTTCCTTAGTTCAGCTAACTTGGACGACCAACTTCCGGGAAGAAATAGTTTGATTAAGTTTGAACAAATCTTATATCTGTAAACTTGAACGACAATATTTGCTATATAAAACAGATCTGTGACCGATCGTGAGACAAGAGCTGTAATCTTCAAGTCGTTGTCCAACCTCAGACACTTCATATCGTAGTTAAGGATAGGAACGTAGAGGAACAAAGGATCCAGTGAAACGGCAAACACACATGATGTTATAAACATGAAATTCCACTTTTGTACATATTTCGGGGCTGAATTTTCCGTTATCGTCTCTGAATTCGGGTCATCTGCACTGCTGAGCAAGACAAAAAGAAGAAAACAGTTAAGGTTCCCAAGTAACAAAATCTTTATTAAGAGAGAGACGGAAGAAATTTGATAAGTAAAGAACTTCTTTCTTTATAAGCATGTGAAATTTGCATATATATATATATATATATACAAGTCCTATTGTTCGACAGAACTTTTGTTTAAGAAAGGAAAAAAATGAAAATGGTGCATGTTAAAGTCGGAGAAACTAACCTTGCAAAGTTCACTTCCGTAGCCGCCATGCACAACTCAAAACTCTTCTTTCTTTTTCTTTTTCTTTTTTGGGCAGAAACTGAATAACTTGAAAGAATTCTGGAATTTGCGAATGATACCTTATGGAACCAAATTTGAGATCTCAAATTTTCTGTCAAGTTGTAAGAATGGTAGATACAAGTAGATGCAATAACCAGCAGTTAATAGAATTGACTTCAGCCCATGCAGTAGTTGAAAATATAATAATATTTCATCCTGGCAAGTTGTTTGAATTCATTGATTGCAGTACTAGTTGTTATACTAAAAAATGTATTGTTATAAAAAATAAAAAAAATAAAAACATTTTCAGATGCTTGGCCAAAACAAAAATAGTGATTGCTGTACTAGTTGTCATGTTTTGTTGTGATTAGGGGAAAATCCCTCACTAATCGCGGTTTGAACATCTCAACACGATTGCATGACTTTGAAATGACATATTTTATAGGTCATCGAGTACCGCCAACTTAAGGCTATTCATTTCAGGTAAACAAAATATACATCAACCTGATTCATCTTCATCCACAGGTAAATCAAACTGTAAAACGTATCATTCTTGCTTTCGTTGAAACTTGAAACTAAACCCTAAACGCCCTACTTCCCCGACTCGTTATATCGTACGCATAGAAGAAAAGCTAACTTGGATTTTTATTAAATAAATTCAATAGAAACAAATGTTGAATAGGTATTAATTGGTCAAGAACTTGATAATAAACTGTAAAACATATAATTTTGCATATATACATGTTCAAGTTCCCCAGAGTAAGGTTGGGGAATGACCATAATTTGCCCAAGGCAAGTTCTTACACTGGAATTTGTGACAAATCCAGCAGTAAGGAATTTATGTACAGAGAGCACAGGACATTCTAAAGTTACAAAGCCCGGTATAATAAACTTGAATAATATTGAACAGGCCACAATATGTAGATTTAATTTATGATATTTATGCCTTCACCGGATCTGTGTAATTGCAGACCAAACCTGTCCTTGGACAAGTAATCTTTCATAATTTCTTCAAGAGCCCGCCAAAACATAAAATCAGTTCAGAATATTTCCAATCTGAATAGCCAAGATTGTCTAATACTAGTAAAATGCATGCGAACCTCAGAGCTGTAGACATAGCCATTGGGAAATGTTTAGAGTATATTGAAAAACTAAGAGACTTAGCATAAGCTTATGAGGAGTCGGGCTACTTTCCCTGGGTCAGGCAAAACAGCTAGCATATAGGAATACAATTAGCAGCTACAATGCATGCACTCACGTCACGTGCTAAAGGTGAATGAGAAGTGTCCAAATGCCAATAAAAGGGAGCAACATTGTTTGGTTTGACAGAGAAAAAAAACGGAGGACAAACAGAGGAAAAAAACCATAGGACAAACAGAGGAGGGAAAGGTTGGTATTGGTATGTTCACCAACAACCAAAAAAAAGGTTGCTATTGGTATAGACCTTCGCTAATTAATATATGAGAATGAGACTATCCGAATGATATCTCAAGTGTTCCAAATTAACTGTTTGGATTAAATTGGACCAAATTAACCGTTGAATCAAATTGGACCCAATTAACGATTAAGAGAATGAGGCTATTTGAATGATATCTAATTGGTTAGTTTGAGTCGGTGCCACGTGAGATCATAAAAGTGTGCCAAATTACTCTCACTGTTGTAATGTATGTTTGATGATACTATGAGTCTGCATTTTGAATTTTCTATATTGATATTGTGCAATTATGTCAAAAACCACATTTTATGGAGCTCCATTATTAATGTGGGACTAGGAAAACATTGATAGGCATCCAAGGAACACCAAAGAAGACAAAAGGCTAATTAAGAATTCAAACGTTTGCAGGTTGCTAATTGACTAAGACCTTAAACAAGACAGTTGGAAGGGAAAAATCTATAATAAATTTCATATTAAAACAAATTCTATAATAAACTTCCCCGAGTCTTTTTATAATAAATTCGTCCTTTCAAACCAAAGCAAAAGTTTTAGTTAATTACCAATAGTCAACTTAGCAACTCTTCCAAACAAGCAATATTGTTACCAATACATGCTACAATCACAAAAGCACAAAAGATTTCAAGCATAATTTGCTGTTGCTAGCTAATTAATTGACTACAAATGACAGCAAATTCAAGAAAAAGTAATGAATAAATTTATTCATTGTGAACAAATTCGACGAGTCACCCTTGTGAACAACTTGGACTTGAAATTAGAGACTACACTCTGTTTACAGTTTAGAAGAGGAAGCTTAAGAATTGAGCAAGCTAAGAAAGAAGAAGATTCAAGAAAATGATATTTCACATCATGTCTACGATCGTAGTCTCATCAGTGTTATATATCTCAATAACCAAGACTTAACAATCTAACAAGTTACAGCTAATACTAACTAACAACACGTGAGCACACACATGACAACTTAACTGAATACAAACTAACTAATATTGTTATCATTCCCCGTCAAACCCAACTCTGGATCCTACTTGGATTTCCAAGTTGCATACTAATATAGTGACTTAAGAAAATAGGACTATGAAGTCCTTTAGTAAACACATTTGCAATTTGCATGTTTAATCCAACTTTTTATTAACTTCATTAAGCATTATAGGTTTTCTAAATAAATAAAAAATATATATATTACCATGTTTATTTAACAGCATAAAGAAAAAGAAATAATATAAAAATATAAAGAAAAAGAAAATGGAATACAAGTTAGAAAATTAAGTATAAAGAAAAAGAGATAATATAAAAGTGAAGTAAAAATAAATTAATGTAGAATAATGATAGAATAGGAAAGAAAAAGAACAAAAAAGAACAAAATTAATTTAAAAGTATTAAAAAGTAAAAGGGAGTGTAAATGCAGAAAAAGAGAGTGGAAAAATTAGCTCATTTTACACAACGACAAAGATAAAGACATTTTAAAATCATATCATAAGACAACATCATATCATAAGACCACATTTTTTACATTTTTTAATCTTTTGTGGAATTAATCTTTGTTCACATTTTTTAAAATTTAGTTTTACGAACATTTTCGCTTAAAAAGTTATAAATTATAAAAATATAATTGTGTTTAATTATAAAAGACAGAGACACCAATTATGAACAAATGGGAGGGTATATAGACCTAGGAATGATTTTCGGGGTTGAATATGATATAAATCAGGGTCAAAGAGTGTCCCTTGCACAGAAGTTGACAGACGAAATTCATGATCATGGATGGAACGATTTGTTGTCTTCACATATCCGTGTATGATTTCCATGGAGTGCAAGTAAGCTACTGATCCTGCAATTTCTGCCGCTATCTTCAGTCGTAACTCCAATGAAAGCGGTGAACATCCTTTGCCTTCTTTTCATAAATGTACTCATTAAAGAGTGCCACTGGGAATGTACTCAAAAATCAGCGCAGGTGTTTGTGCTTCGAAACAACAACCTAAGAACCTCACCAAATTTATGTGATTGGTCTGAGAAGCAACACCTACCTCATTAACTGCATATGGATTATCAAAAATGCTACCACTAATTCTGGACTTCTTCACCGCAGCCACTGTTTTATCTGGTAGCAGTCCTTTGAAAACGGTTGTAGAGCCTCCTTCACCAATGATCCTACTTACATGGTAATTGTTTGTTGCCTCCCCAACTTCTTTCGCACTAAATGTTCTATATGTAGTTGTTCCCACAACTCCTAGTTGCAGATAACCTAAAATTTTCTTGAAGTGGTTATCCTCAAACATATATTGTCTTCCGAATTTAAAGACCACACTCGCGACGTCGCTAGCCATGAGAGCAAGGGCCTCAACATCACCTGTTGCCTTAGCGGACTCGGTTGCCAAGGGTAACCGAGCAACTCTTTTTTTTTTGGTTGAAGTCCCCATATCTTTTACTTAATATATAGTTAACTGAGCAACTCTTCCCACTAGTGTGAATGAGGAAGCAACTTCATATTTGGAACTTTTTTGTTGTTGTTTTTGTCAGGAACTCATTGCGAACATGTTAATTGTGCTAGTGACCAATAAAATCAAAGGTCGGAGCATATATAATGACTCTGGAAAAAAAAAACAAAATAAATAAACCTCGTATTATCTGGTTCCAAACAAACTTCTAGTATCTCATTATTTTACATTATCTGGGAAATTGGTTTAGCTCCGTTTCACACATGTGCAAATATTACATATGGATTTGGTTTATGGACCATTATTTTGTTGTAATTAGAGGAAAATCCCTCACTAATTGACCTTTGAACATCTCGACATTATTTCGGGGCAGCAAGACTTGTGCCCACAGCAACCGTCATCATGTCATATTATAAACACAAATGAAAGACCAAGAAAACAGAGATTCTCTCAACATATATAATTTTCTTGTTGCTTATTGACTAACACCTTTAAAAATAATAATAAATATAAATCACGTGTAAACAAACACCCAAATAGTTATGTATCAAAGTCCTTTTGTGGTATAAATTATTTATTCTCTCAAAGCAGAGCAGACGTAGCAACTCTTCCCAAGAAGCGGATCAGTGCGTATATGCATCCAACAATCACAAAAACGCAGAATAAGACATTAACTGGAAATCCAAACTTACAAGCAAACAAGCTTCAGACAAGGAAACTACGTATGCACATAAGCAGGAATATAATACAAAGACAATTCACTAGTTGCACATAATACTAACGAATTTGATCACCAGGCTGAACCTTTGCCAAGTCATCGGACTTCAGAACCAGAACTTCAACTTCACCGATGGCCCAAAAACTAAAAGGAGAGGTGGGCAATTTGGCAGGAACGCTTGTAGATTTAGATTTTAGCCAATGTTCTATGAGGTCATCTCCGCTGTGATTTGGACATCCTCCTTCATTGCGGTAATAATGTTTCGAGCTCCCATCTGTCACTGACACAACTCCGCTCATGATGAAGAACATCATTTCGATTGGTTTATCCTTTTGAATAATGTACGCATCTTCATACGTTCTGAGCTCAAGATACCCACATATTTTTTTCAAAACTTCCACACCCATAGTCTCAAGCCTTTCCACCTTCAAATTAAAAATATCATGATTAAAAATAATATATATATATATATAGGCGGATCTGTTAAGGAGCAAGAAGGTGCAGCTGCACCTCCCCTCGCCAGATAAACTATTGTAGGTGCTTGAAATTGCCCATTTGCTCAGCTGGTGGTGGTGTACATATTACCTTGGTGGTGGTGGTGGTGCTTGAAATTGCCCCTTTGTATTTTTACTTTCATTTATTTTTATATTACTCAATTTACTTAAGTTTACAATGTAAATAAGGAAGTACCCCCCATTTGGATTCAAATAAAAATACTAGAAAATCAAATTCCCCCTAAATCAAAATTTGAAAAATCAGTTTTAGTGCAAAATACGATTTAAGCTAAAAATGATAGCTCATTAAGTCAATATATACTTCATAATAAAATCCCATAAAATCAAGTTTTTTTATTTGATGTATAAGGAATAAAAACCGCCAAAAATTATCTTAAGAAAATGATTATTCCGAAAAACCATTTTTCATACTTAGTCAAAAATTTTACATAGAACAATTTTTCATGTATGATATGAATGCATGAAGGGACCTAAGGTCAATCTAGGTAAAAAGCCTTAGTTGTTCAATCCACAAAGAGTTTTTAGCCTTTTAAAATTGCACATTTGCTAAAAAATTCCTGGGTCCTCCAGTGTGTGTATATATATATATATATATATATATAGAGAGAGAGAGAGAGAGAGAGAGAGAGAGAGAG